GAGATATGGTCCTACAACTGCAACACTCTACAATCTTCAACACCTAAATTTTCTGAAATTCAGGGGCTTTATATTCAATTGGCAAAGTCTGGAAATGCAGAGAGGTTTTATGCAGCCTTTTACGCTAGCATAGTCTTGCATGCTTCGAGCCATTTTGTAGGATTATCAAGAAACTCTGCTACATTACTTTGTTCAAAAGTGGCCGACTGCCTTTTAACACATAGCAAAGAAAAAGCAGAAACTCACACATGTGAACCATTGACGAAATTATCTGATAAAGAGAAGTCAGGGTTACAGTATATTGGAGGTTATGTACTACATAAGCTACATAACAAGCACAAACAAGCAAGTAAAACACTAGAAAATGACCACGCAATCTCACTGATAATGGCTGGGAAATGGGACAATCCTATTGGTGAAGATCAGAGATTGACTACAACATTGAATCGAGGTGGACTGTGGAAGATCACAAGAAATGCTCAGTCTGTTTTTGAAAGAACTGAACACTATTTCAGGGAAGCTACACGTAAAACCAGTCTGAAAAACATTCCTTTAGCTAATATTATTTCAAGATCAATGCATGATGTAACTGTTGTCGCATCTCACTCTGCCATGTTAGCCGACTCTGAAGTTGAGATTAGTAGCCATGTTGCCAAAGATGTTCTCCACAATATTATTAGTTTGTATGTTAGAGTTCGTTCTTTTTCATTTGTGAAGGACGTTATTCAAAAACACAAAATTAGATTGAAACAACTGAAATCAAAAGCTCTTCGCAAGGACATCAATAGGTCATCAACAGACTAATTACTGTAATATTCTTTAAATTCCCAAAACAAATAGACTTTTCTGTAAATTTAATGTTCCTGTTTTATTTAAAAAATATCATAATAAGTTTGACTGACGCTGTGCCTAGAATATGTATTTCAGGAATTATGCTACAAATATTCAAGTAGAAATACAAAGGAGGCAAATGTTTGAAAGTCAGTCCTTATGTATTATATT